TTGCCCCCCCCCTCCCCTCCCCCCCTCCATTCAATGGGTTTTTATTCTATTTATGAATGAGTTATCCGAGGTCTATCGTTCGTTCATTTTCCCTCGCTCAACAATGCCATTACCCAATGAGTGACTGCAAATAAAAAATCATTCTCTCCTGTTTATTTGATAAACAAGTTAATTGCCGTGCTTATTAAATCGCTCAGTGGAGGCCGATGAAAAAGCCAGGTTAATTGTTTTTCATGACACGACTAAAATTACGACATGAGCAGGAATAATCTCACACAGATGCACTGAGATTTACAATGATGCGCGCATTGGCCTCATTTTGATTAAAGTGACGAAGGGAAAAGTGGATTTTTCATTCAATAAAAATTCTCTACTTTATGGAGGAATTGAAAGAGAAAAGGGAAAAAAACAGTTGGAATGAAAAAATTAAAAGTAATAAAATCGTAAAGTGTATTCAAAATCCTTTTAAGTTTTTTCAACATTGCGGAAACAGTCTGAAATGGTGAATGATAATGGTCGACGAACGGTCTGAATCTCGACTAAACGAGCCTCCAGGCTTCAGTGATAAAGAGGCATCCCTTTCCATGAAACTTTTATTTTTACACCTCTCTTTTTAGAAGGCAGTACGATTGCTTTTAGCGACGACCGTCGCAACGGAAAACCTTTAGCACTTTTTTACCCCCACTGCCTTCTCCCCAGCTAACAGTTAACCCACCATAAATGGAATAGCCGTGTACAAAAAAAAAAAGTTGAGAATATATCGTTTATTTGTCTGTATATGGGTGAAATTTCGTTGCTTCATATTGTGAAGATGAAAAAGTTTGAATGAAGAAAAAAAAGTAGGCACAAGTTGCATTTAATGGGATAGAAATAAGAGGTAAATTGTTGAGAACTCACTGCTCTGCCATGCGGCACGAATCTCCTCGTGTGCCTCGTCGGGTGTGAGATAATTTATGCAGCGCTCCTGGGGAAAACCTACTTGACTCAGGAGACGAATATCCTCATCTGAAATATAAAATAAAATGTTAATGGTGGGATGTGTGAAATTGCGGTTCCAGTGGGTTTTCACTGGTCCTTTGGAGTTAAAGCTTCTTGGTGATATTTTGAAGGTGGAATCCTTGACCTCAAGGCTAAATCGGAGGTAAAAATAAACTCATGAATTGGCCAATGAGGAAGTACGAGCGGGGAAGATAACATCGATCCTCGGGGGTGGAAAGAAAATTGAATTCTTTCTCCCGCAGTTTTACAATCTGCAGTTTATTCAGCATAACTGTTTTCCGAAATTAATTGATGTGGAGGGATTTATTGGGAACAATTTCAGTGATTTAGTGCTCGTATCAATCACGTGAAATATGAAACGGTGTACTCGGTTGAAAATTTTTCGTTGAAACTTCCACTGCACGAGGCAAAATTTGCATCTAAAATTTGAATGCTAACATTTTTCCCTGAGATCAGACCAGAGCCTCAGTGTTTCGTCACTGAAAATTCATCATTTGAAAAAAAAATCAATGAAAACTGGTAAAGTCAATTTAATTATCGCATGAAAATTAATGGAAACCGAATAAATTCAGGGAAATGTGTCCTTGAATACGTTTCCCTGAATTGAGTTGAGGAATCCTCGTCTTCCTGCTATTAAAAAAAATTGAAATATCATTATTTTTCCCATTATTAAACGGCCAATAAAAGATTAAATTTTATTAAAGTGCAATAACTCCCCCATTACAACAAACAAAAATTGATAAAAATTGAAATTGCCATATCTCATCAATTTAATCGCCCACCTCCGAGTGTTATTTGTACCCTCTTTATGTAACTCAATTTGGTTACGAAAGATACGGATGTGGGACAGACGGTTTTATGGACTTACGTTGGAGGGCGGTTTTGAGGGAGAAGTGGTGTGAAGCAGTTTTACTCCACTCGGCGGTTATCCATGAAAATCCTAGCAGGCGTTACTCGACGTAATCCGATGCTTTCCGTATACCACCAGAGAATTGGAGTAAAATTCAGACACGTCCCTTTTAACCCTAACTCTTTTACACCGATTAGATATGCCGTTGAGGATATAAGCCATCGCGTGAGCCTCGCCTCATAGTTTCAACCATTGAATTAACACATCAAAACAAATTCCATGTGCTCACACGAAGCTTTCATCCCAATATCGATCATCAATTGGACACTGAATGCCCCCCTCCATCCCTTATGTTAATTACTCTTTGTGTTTACACTCACGGAATGAACAATTACAGAGACAATTGTCTGATTCTATTTGACAAGTTTAATTGTAAAACTTGCACGTACGCAATAAACCTCTCTATCCACCCAAAATTTCAGCCATTCCCTCTGTGCCTTCCAATAAAAATAAAAGAACCGGTCTCTTTTACGTTCCCATAAAATACAAATATTCGGATTAAATCCATAATTAATATTTTATTTAATCGACCTCCTACCGTCGTACCAAATCCACTGCAATATATTTCTCTCCATAAAACCGCCCGAGCGTTTAATGGGGCTTGTAAAAAAAAAATTACAGAAATGGATTTAATTTACCCTGCAACATTATTAAAAGTGAAAAAATTCCCCCTGGAGCTTTTCCCCTGTCGTTTATTTCCCTAACACTCAAGAAGCTAGATGCTTCCAACAACAAATAAACAAAAAAGTAAAGGCAATGAAAAAGTAAATAACGTACGAGTTGATTTATCTTCATCGAGTTTCTTGCCTCGCTATGAGTAGCTTGTGTACCCATCAATTCTTCCATGGACGATCGATAATTTATTGCACTTTGGCATGAGGTCAATCATGAAGAGCCACTCCCAACCCCCGCGGGCTCACCTCATCACTCCATGGCCCCCTCATCCCTCACTCCCCCTTCGTCTAACCATATTCACTCTCCCCGTGTGCACAAAAGTGAAATGCGAATACGAATAAAATCGCACAATACCTGACATCAAAGCAGAAAGTATGAATTACCAAAGGGAATAACAAAAAAGGGGGAAAATAAAAAGGACAGCAGTAGAGGCCCTTTAGCACACTGAGCACATAAATTTTTCACGATTGAAAAAAAGCCATTGCGCAAGGAATAGATGTTCCCAGTATATGCGTGCAGATCCTTGCAATTAGCGCCTGAAAATAAATACTCTGGGATTTGCTCACTAACGAGGTTTGGTTGCGGGGTAGCAAAAGGGGGATGAGGCTGAGGGCGAGCATTAATAGGTGGAATTTCAACGAAAGAGGGAAGCGGAGAATTTTCACGGGGAAGGGGGGGGGGTGAAAAGTGGAATGAGATACACCGCAAACAGTTAATTCTTAACAAGAACTTGGTTCACCTAATGATTCCACCGTCCCAAAATTCCCGGATATCACTTCACAATGAAATTAACCCCAATGTTCCGTTTATAAGTTAACGAAAAGATAAAAATGCCTTCAGATGAAATATATCAACGGTGATGAAAGGGTTTTTAAGAACGAGGAAATAATGTGAATGGCAAATTCATTAGTCCGAGATCAAAGTGTAGGAAATTATGCTTCAGCTAATGGGGTCTGATTGCCGTTGCCGTTTACCAGATATGCCGTTATTTAGTTCTTGAGGATAAAGAGAAAATTCAGGAGGGAGAGAGAGAGAGAGCTTTTTGAAGTGTCTCAAGAGATGTTTCCGGAAGCATTTAACCCTAGACGCTTTAGCCTGTCCAAAAAGGGGAGATTGAACGTGGAGAGAAAGAAGTACTTTGAGAGCTTTCAGAGTGGAGGTGAGGTAAAATGAATAACAGGGTCACGCAATATCCTCAGTGGATACTTTTCTCCTATTTAGATGGCAATCGGGGATGCCCCACGACCCCCTCTCCCCCCCTCGCCATTTGGTGGGTCGATATCACGAGTGGAGTCAAGGTGGTACATACTCGGGAATACTCGCACGAAATCGCAGAAATAGAAGAGAAGTTGAAGGGGGGGGGGGTGAGAGCTGGGGGAATATGGAAAAACACATCAAGTGAACAACAGGGTGACTTGCATACGGACATAACAGTGTGAAGGAGACTGTATTGAAAAGGATTCTTGGAAAAATTCGTTCAACAAAATGAGCTTTCGCCTTTTCTGCGTCACGGTTCACTAGTTGCAAACGTTTTTCCAGACGACTCCTTTAAAAATTGGCCAACCAACTGGCATTGTGCCAGATTGGAGGGTTCAGCCCTCTGTAGCCTCTCCTCTTCCTCCCATCCACCCCCCCTCCCCCTCCCCCTCCCCCTGGAGACCCTTTCAGTCGACTCCGAAAAGGTGAGGAGGGGACGGGGGTGGAATAAGAGAAAGGGAAAAAGGAATAAATGATATAAATTAAATGTCAGTTTCATGCCAGACTCTGCTGCATTCACCGACCGGTGGATCTTTTCAACTCCAGTGATCACAGAGTGTAATTCTTTTATCACTCTTTGTGCCCTTTCATTCCTCTATCTATTTAGGATTTTTGATTAAAATTGGAAATTGTGGTGCGGTTTGAGAGAACTCACCACTCAGGGAAACACACATTGTCCAGATGCCGCCGTGCATTGGTACGAGGAAAGTTGGCCTTCCAGTTGTGTAGCGATTAGTATGGTCCAGCATTGGCTCCAACATCGCCACCTGGCCATCTAAATACCACGTGGGGCTGACATTGGCTTTGTTCAAGTCCTCCTTGTCCCATCCAACCTCCTCCCAATGATCTGACATTATTGCACTGCACAGCAGACAAGTGGCTGGAATGAGAAAAAAAAATGCAATCAAATGAGAAGCCAGTGTCACATCACAGTGAATGGAGAATGAATTACAAAAGAATGAATGAAAGATCGAGCTCGCAAAAGGCGAACAGAGAGCGAACAAAGTGGGGGTGTTCGAGGCTTCACGAGGGGTAATGACGATAAATTCGCTTGTGGTGAAGATAGAGACACGAAAAGACATGGACATCCGACTGAGATTTCGAGATAATAAATCGACGCGTCAGCGTCAGGAGTGATTGAAACATAGTGCTCAGTAACTTCTCTATCCATCCCCCTATTGTGTTCCGATGCTTTTGCAGTGATCAAAAGCATTGAATCAAATTTCACTGAACTGTAAACAAAATGTAAAACTAGGAAAAAAGTCCAAACGAAAACTGGAGCGCGAAAAACTTTCCTCAGGGATTTTCAGGCGGACTGTTTCTAAAAAAACATTGAACATAAAAATGCAGAAGGTATTTTTGTTCGTAACTTTTTCATAACATAAAACGAATGACTTTGTTTACCTGAAAATGACAGTGCAAGCGTGGTGAATAGAAAAACGAGGCGCGGCGCCGGACCCCTGGGTACACGAGACGGCTCCATCCCCGGTGGTGCCCAGGCGCCCACTGAACAGTCTCCTCTCACACTCGTGTCCTCACAATATCTCTTCGAACTAAAACCGCCACCGAATATCTCCCTTGCGCCAAGGGTTGGCACAAATCCCTCTCTACTACCAACTCTCATCCCTCTCTCAACTCCCACCAGTTGGCTTTTACTACGCGCCTGACTCTGGACTCTTCGTACGCCCTCTCTGCGCGTTGTTGCCGTCGCATTTGTGGAATCGACCGTGGTAACACCGCGCAGTGACACACACAGACATGTTTTACGCGAAAATCATATTTTTTTTTTTTTTTGTTCTGTTCTCCTACGAGAGAGATCGAGAGGAGGCTTGCACAGTCCGGCAACACACGGACGCTGCAGGCCATCCCTTACGCCTCAAGTCCTCCGCTGTGACAACAGATATAAAAAAATAAAAATAAGGGACAGAAGAAACTGGAGTAAATAGAGTTGAGGAGTATAAGAAAAAACATATCGGGTTGGGACGGGAGAGGTTGAGGGATAAAAAAAGCCTCGGTTGGTGGCTTTAGAGGCATTTGAATAATTCATGATACTTCTGATTGTTGCACGGCGGTCCTTTGCCAATGAGATATTCTTGAAGGGGAGGAGAGAGAGATTTAGAAATTGGAGGAGCACGTTATACAAACGCTACTCCTAGGGAATTCCCAGCACGCTTTTCATATTGTCTCATTTATTTTTCTCGCTCGAGCAATTTACTCCAACTACTTGTACTATTTTTACTATTAATTTTTTTCCCATTTGCGAGGGAACTTGGGAAAACAGTTTCACCTCAGTTTTCAATTTTATCACCTCTCCCTCTCACTCATTTTTCTATCTTGTATTTTCCTGAATTAAATGTCTCGTACAATTTGTTTGTGTTTATAATTGACCTCTTGATTTTTAAACCAATTTCACAGATGGCAGATGTAGCAGAGCAAGCCCCATTCACTGACCCAGCAACGGCAATATCACAGGGTAAACGTCATCTACTAGTACGTGATTACACAGCAGCGGTAACTGCCTTTGCCGAGGGTCTTGAATTGCTGTCCCAGAAACACGGAGATTGCGGTGATGAACTCGGTGAGCCGTACCTACTTTATGGACGTGCATTGCTTGGATTAGCCAGAGAGGAGACTGGTGTACTCGGTGGTGGTGTACCTGGAGGGGATGAGGATGAGGAGGACGATGAGGATGATGAAGTGGATGATGAAAAATTGAGTAGTGTCGATGAGAAAGAGGAAGATGGACTGGACAAGGAGGAGAGTGATAAAACAGAGGCGGCCTCTTCAGTGCCCAAAGAGGATGACAATAAGTCTGAAAATAAGCCAGAGGAGATGAATAAAACTGATGACAATAAGATTGAGGAGCAAAAAGTTGAGGATGAGAAGAATGAAAAAAGTGATACTGTTGAAGATGAGAGTCTACCGGGTACGAGCAAAGATACGCCAAAGGAGAATGGCGATAGTGCTGTGAAAAACGGTAATACAGTGCAGAATGGTGATGGAGAGGGTGAGGATGTCAACAAAGAGGAGGACGATGAGGATCCAGGGCGTGGAATTGATCTTCAAGTTGCTTGGGAAGTGCTTGAACTCGCTAAAATTGTTTTCTTCAAACGTGGCCCGTCTGGATACAAACAATTGGCTGAGGCACACAGACTACTTGGTGAGGTTGCCATGGAGAGTGGCAATCAGCAAGTTGCTGTATCTGATCTTGAGAAGGCATTGAAAATTCTACAGAGTGTTGAGCCCCGTGAGCCGAGAGCTATGGCTGAGTTGCATTATCAACTGGGTTTGGCTCATTCACTTGGTAATGATTTTGATGCCAGTATCGAGCAATTCAATGAGGCAACAAACTTGCTCGAGGCGAGGATAAAAGAGTTGGAGAATACAAAGGAGCCACCTAAGAGTGATGATCCATTCTATACGATTGAGGGAGAGATCAGTGAGTTGAGGGAACTTTTGCCCGAGATACAGGAGAAAATTTCGGATATGAAGGACTTCAAGCAGGAAGCCTGCAGACTTGTTATTGAGGGTATAAAGAGTAAAGTTGCTGGTGGCTGCACAAATGGGGCTGGACCGAGTTCAGATGGTGCATCGTCCAGTGGTACTTCAGTTGCACCAACGGTATCAAAGCCAGCTAGTGATATTTCACATCTTGTCAGGAAAAAACGTAAGAATGATGAGGTCGAGCCAGAGGCAGCTTCACCGTGTAAGAAGCAAACCCCATGAATCATTAATTAATCTTCTGTAGTTGGGTGAAAAGAAGGTGTGTGGTGGAGAGGAGCTGGGGGGGCCCATTGAATTTTTTTTTTCGTCTTATTAAGGAGACAAAACACCCCTTCGTATCTTCTCATGAGTAAATGTCTCGAGTTGTCTGAATAGTTTTAATAAGAGTGTAAGTTGTGAGACAAGTGCAGGCATAAAACTGCGAAAATTTTTTGACTTTCTTTTCTCTGCACGGCAACAAAATGTTTGAACTTATTCATGTTTTTTTAACCGTATGATAATTACTATGAGGAATGATGAGGGCGTTAGTGGTTACTTTATTTATTATTCGATTTTGCGTAGCATTATTTTGATTGGAACTTGTACTTCGTTGAAGAACTGCTGCTCTTTATCAGTGTTCTTATCAGTGTTCTGAGTTTTTTTTAAGCTCTGTTATTCACAGGGACATACCTGGAGTGTGCTTAGGATGTAAGATAATGATCGAAAAAAAAACAAGTTGTATTAATAAAAACGTTGATTGACATTTTTTCATATATTTGTGGCTCATTTCAATTACAATTGTGACTCGTAACACTGGAAACTCTACCTCAACTGCTCTTTGAAAAATAATTCTCTGATAATGAGAATGTAAAAACAATCACAAAAGTGGACGGAATTTGTATAAAGTGATGAAGCACTCTCTAATGCTCACTGGTGCACAAAATTACTCTCCCAAAAGTTCCTCAATCCCATCATCTTTATCCAAACTTTCTCTTCGTTGAACGCTCATTCTGTACCCAAGTGCCTCGAGCAAGTTGACATTGTAGTAATAACTCAAATTAATTCCTGGTACCAGCCGTTTCAGCTCCTCAATGGTAGCACGAGCTTTCTCGGTATTACCACTGTCTGCATAGTGCTGTGTTATCGTTGCAAACAAATCTCCACGTCTAACAGACTGTTCTAAGCCCTCGCCAAATGTATCCAAAAGCTGTCGTACCTGTGCCATACCAGACTCGGTTTCACCCCTGTCGAATGATTTCTTCAGCTCCAAGTAGCGTTTTATTATGCTCATGCGTGTGTTTACGATGTCAATTGCACGCTTGTGTACCTCAGGCTCTCGAGGGGATGTCACTTTAGCGAGACATCTTGCTGCTTGATTCAATGCATCCAGTGCTTTATCGTAATTCTGAAATTCATCGATCTCCACTTGGGCACATGCCACGTAGAAATTGGCCAGTAGATCCATGGCTTTTCCCTTCGAGTAAAAGTTTATTATGTTCTTCAGCACATCAGGCTGATTCTGCCAGTCCAGTGACTGGAGGTAATTACCAGCCATTATGTATATGTCCCTGTGACGTGACACCTGAGCGAAGAAACATATTTTCTCAGTGTCACCGGATTTTAATAATGCTTTCATAGCTCGCAATTTATTTCCCGCCTGAGTGAACTTCTTCGTTGCAAGATGATAATTACCCTGGTCAAATGCTATCTCTCCAATTCTCTCGAGAATTGATATCCTCAGGGCTTCACGCTCTGGATCATTCTCGATCTTCATTATCGTCATTTTTTCTGCCAATTCCTCGGTCAGATTGATGTTGTGCTCTTCAATTAAATCCAGTGCCTCGGTGTATTTTTTTCCGGTGGCTAGCAGATCCACGGCTTTGTCCACCTGATGATTTTGACAGAAAAAACCAGCGCATTTTTTCACAAGACCGGGATCTGACTCTGCATTAATGTCCATTGTAATTGACTGGAGGGCGTTGTATTGTTGGGTATTGAATGCCAGATCAAGAGCTTTTGGGAGAAGGTTGGCTTTGTGGTAGAGTAATATGGCTTTATCTGGTTGGTCATTCTCCTCGAAATATTTGGCCACGTCGATTTGAGTCTGTCGGGAGGCTAGCATTGCCAGCGGCCACAGGTCCTCTGTCATATTGTGCTCCTGTGAAATTAAAACGGGGTGGAGTTATTAGTTCATCGCGAGCAAAAATACACAAAAATAAAAATGGAATGGCACTGTGAAAGGGGAAAAATTTAATTATTTTTTTCCCTTTGACAAAACGGGAATATTGGGAAAATATTTATACGGTTTTCATTTCAAAAATAGCACTTGGCGTACGCGTACCATTTCTACGGGGTTTTTTCCGTATTTAAAGTTAGTGCACAGAAAACAGAAGGGGAGATATTTTATTAATCATTTGTTCATTCATTCATTTTCTTGATTCTTTTATGATCGTTTCTACGCTCCATTTATTTCTTTCTCTGATGGGGGAACTTATGAGACTAATATTTTTCATAATTAAGAAAAATTTACTGCAGTAGCTTTGACAAAATTAGATAAAGAAAATTCTTCAAACTGAAAATTCACCTACTACAAAACTTAAAAAATAAAAACAAAAATAGAAAGCAATATAAAACAAATACTGAATTCAATTCAGATATTTAAACCTTCAAGCCCCATACAAACTCATGCTAACCCCTCATTCCGGGCAAATTGCCTATTTTATTTCTAAATAATCAATCCGAGTTTGTGGATTGAAATTTTTACCAGCATAAAAGAATAGACATTCGCAAACAAGACTAAAACAATATTTTTCAAGAGGAGTATTCACCTTGCAAATGCGAATGGCATTGGTATACGCTTTAGCTGTCGTATAGAAATGAACAGCCTGTGATAAAATATTCAGCGACTCATAATGCGCAGCAAGATGATAAGCTGAGGCGGCATGATTTGTCTTCATCACGAGTTCACAGGCTTCCTCCTCACGGCCAAGATAACAGAGTAGTCGCGTTACCGCTAATGTATCTTTAGCTGTTTCATAGAGACGCAATGCACCCTCCATGTCACCTGTTGACTCAACGTACTGAGCATGCCAATTTTTTACCTCCCTGTAAGTGATAAATTTTCATTTAAGAAGTCATAAAATTTGACGCTCCACAAAATCCCCCCACATTTGTATTCCAATCCCCCGAATCTATTAATCATTCCTCGTTCCCACATTTCCCATCAATCCTCCTTACTCCCTGAAACTTCTTATCAGACGAATAAATGAATAAAAATGGTGAAAATCGACTCACGGATCATCAGAGCTTGACAAATAGCCCTGCAACTCCCTGGGGCGACTGAGAAGCATCCTGGGGACTTCAAATCGATGGCAATCAGCCTTCGAATACATCTCAATGGCCTTATCCACATTCCCCTCCTGCTCGAGTGCCTTTCCATAATTATAATAACTCAATTTCTCCCGTATCTTATTCTCACTGCTAGCTAGGAGAATGGCCTCTGGGTATTTATTGGAGGCCTCCAGAAGACTCCCCAGGAAATCCAGTCGTTTAGCGTCGCGAAAGAGTCTCTCAGCGTCGGCATAGAGTCCCAGTTCCACCGCAAGAATGCCGACTTTCGCCTCGAGATTCAAACTGCTATCCTGCATGGCCTCTCTGATGGCCCTGGCCCCCCTCACATGCTTCATATGCCCCAGACAAAGCATAGCCATATCCAGCTGTTTCGTCTTGACACACATCTTCGCCAAACTCTTCCAAACCGCCTCATTCTTAATCGATTTTATCGACTTGAACGCCTCATCCATGTTCGACATACTAATATGAAAACTAAAATCCATAATAGCTCTCTTCGTTGGCTCATCGTAAGGTCCCAACTCCTCAAACTCCCTCATTAATAATCTCGTGACTTTGCTCCCCTCGCCTGCCGCCATCTCTGGACTCAGGAGAATTATATCCGGCGATTGAACCCCCAGCAAACGAGTGCTTGCATCTTTCACAGGTCGAATATCCTGAACAGCCACACCATGATCTGGCGTTGCAAACATGGACACCAAGATAACCGATGTATCATCGTTACTCGCGAAGTTTCCTTTGCTCGAGTTTTTCGACTCTTTGGATTCTATCCTCTGCGCCCGACAGATCAATACCCTGGGGTCACTGGTGTCCCAGCAGTGGGCCGTTGGCAGCCTCCCCCTGGGCCTCGCACTCGTCCCATCTGTCTCAATACCCTCGTTCAATTTGGAGAAGTCAAACTCGTGGATCTGGTCGCCCTCGATGTCCCAAATGTAGAGGATCGAACTGGGGAGGAGATTGGACATGGCCACAGTGATGGATACACATCGACAGTCGGAGTTGCAGCGAGCCTCGATGATCTCGGCGAAGTCGTTGATGGCCTCGTAAGCAGTCATCGCCCTGGTGTGCAGCTTGGCCTCTCTCTTCCCAATGTCCCAGATCTTGAGGATTCCATTGAGGGAGGCGACTGTCAGGTACTGCCCTGTGAGCTCCATGGTGATGGGCTCACCCTCTTCGGGGAGTGTCGGCAGACTCTGCAGGAGAGAGCCATCGATTGATCTCAGTTGAACGACAGTTGGCGTCAAGATCACCAGGGTATTCTCGTAAATAAGAATTTTCTCGTTGTCGCAGCTGAAGGAGCCGACGACTGTTGTATTCAACTTGCTGTCTCTGTTGATCCTGTAAACAGCGACTTGTCGACACGAGGAGACAGCCACAAAGTCCCTGCTGACGGCGAGCACCTGCACCTGGAGATCGGTTTTGAGAATGCAATTCCTGTTTTCGGTTTCAAGGAGGATCTGCATGGGTGCCACTTGGCTGGCGCAAGTCCCCTCGTTGTACACAGCGCACATGGGCTGCTGGTGAAGAATGAAGACATTGGTGATGCAGTTGACGGCGAGCAGGGGATTCCGCAGGAGATTTCCTCCCCAGGTGAGTTGTTTAACTGTTCCATGCACTGAACAGGATTTTGGAACTGTTGGCCAGCCGTATTCGTCAGTTATGGAGGCGTTCTTCTTCCTCCAGAGGTAGATGGTACCCAGGTTTGTTCCAGCAGCGAGGGTCTCGTTGCTCTTGCAAAAGGAGAGACTGGTGTAGATCTCCTGAGGAGTTGCCAGGTTTCCAGTGGTGGATTCAGCCGGCGCGAGGACGTAAGTGTCTCCAGTGAACAAATCCCAGCACCTGACACTCAATTCGCCAGTTAAAACGGCCAGAGTGTTGGCTCCAACCCAGCAGAGGGCTGGCCCAGTCCTCGAGAAGTCGCTCTTGCCACTCAGTTTCACCCTGGACAGCTCTGTGAGCCTTCCAGTGATGGATTCACTCTGGAAGTGGCCGATTGTCAGCCCCTCAGTCATGATGACCACTGAATCTCTACTGGGATGATGAAGAAGGCAGTGTAAATTCAATCCCCCAGTGTTCAACACCTCCATGCACTGGCCCTGAGCGTCGACGTAGTAAATAGTTCCATTGGAGGAGCCAATGTAGAACGTTAGATTGTCCTTCTGCACGTGAACAGCACTTGGAGCTGCGGTTCTGGGTCTCCAGGTGCTGAAGAGGTCGAGGGCTCTCTCGTCCCCAGCAACAGCAGCCTTAGCCAAGTCACTCAGATCAACTCCAGACTTCGGTTGTGAGATTTTAAAAGCGATCTGGGTGAATGTCTCGTTCAACTCGTGGTGGAAGACAATCAACAATTGTCCTCTCGTGTCGATCTTCCAGCCAACGACAGATCCCCTGGTGTCAGCAGACACCAGCCTTCCTCCATGCTGACTCCACTCCAGGAGACTTATTGGATCCTTGTGGGGTGTCACTGTGAGATTGAACTCACCAGTTGCTGTGTCCCCTGGCCAAATTCTAATCTCTCCACTCTCCCAGCCAGCAACTAGCCATCTCTTCTCCGGGTGCCACGAGAGGGACGTCACTTGGGCCACAGAGTGCCCGGACGACTCCACATCGGGTATGGGCTCACCTTGATCATCGTAGATCGTTACGAATCCACCTCGATCCTGGGAATATGCGGCCACAGCGAGCAATGGGTAATTGCTGTGCCATGTTGCTATTGTGTTTATCGAGGCTGTCTCTGGATTTTGCACGCGAATATCGAAGTAAAGGGTCATGACGATTGTTTACTCAAATATTACCGAATGAGGGTGAACTGAATCCTGGTGATAATGACCTTCTCGCCAGCCACGACATTGTCGTGATTAACGAATCAATGATTAAACTATTTTATCACATCACTGCGAACTTTTGACTGACGTTTTGCACTCATTTTATAATGTTTTGTGTACAAATATCGATTCTGTCAAACACGAACAGCAGTGCGCCCTCATTTCTCAGGTGATAACGTCGGTAATGAAGCTCGCTGTAGACAGTGACCTCTGTGTGATGCACCCAGAACCCTGTTGCCTCATCTCAAAGTCCTATTCTCTCGTTTTGGAGTACAACTAGACGGTTTTTGTGTGACTGCACTCTTGTGTGGCTCCAACCACTATCCCTCCCCATGGAGAATAGTTTATTTGTTCGTTCGTGCAATTTCATTGGATAATTAATCCCCGAGGGTTGTAATAAATACATGTGTTCGTTGGAGGGATGTTTCGGGGGGACTATTGTGCTTGTTGATGACTTGATACGAGTCAGTGTGATTCAGTTATTTCTGATTGAATAGGGAATACAAGTGACTGTGAGAAAGTACGATTGATATATTTTTTTATTTTCGAAACTTGTGGAGTTATTTATTCGAGTCAGAGCACTGGCATCAGTTGACGTTTGAGAACAGATGTTGGCCTTCGGTGACTCACGGTGTATCAAAATTGTGTTGCGAAAAGTTTTTGGGAAGTAGCGAGGTGCATGTGTGAAATGCTGGCACTGGTGTAACGTAAGTGTCGGTCCTTTTTTTGGCGAGTGGAGTACTCAGCACACGCCCATTGGTGGGCACAGCTGAGTCTTTACATAATTTTATGAGATAATTGATGATTGCGATAAGGGAATTACTCAATTTTTAATCGCCAATGGTTCCAGGGGCTCTGGTGATGAGGGGTTTTTGAGGAGTTACGAGAGGTTTTACTGGAGGATTTTTCCTTGGGTCTCGTTGGGAGATAAATAACAGGGAATCATGACGGAGTATAAACTCGTGGTTGTTGGAGCTGGTGGTGTTGGCAAATCAGCGCTTACTATTCAACTTATTCAGAATCATTTTGTCGATGAGTATGATCCCACGATAGAGGATTCGTATAGGAAACAGGTAATTGTTGTTTTGCTGGGGGGTTTCGGGGGGTTTTCAATGCTATTATCATCGTGTTGTGTCATCTCTCTGTCACTTGCGGAGAAAAAAAGTGACTATTAAGCTCCATCAAGTGGAGGAATGCTATGAGTCATTCGGTAATAGATCGTCTGGATTAGGAATGTGGTGGAGAATGTTTGTTTTATTGTGAAATCAATTGATGGGGCTTTGGGGAGTCTGATCGTTTTGCTTGGGGTGTCTTTGCAGGTTGTCATTGATGGGGAGACCTGTCTCTTGGATATTTTGGATACCGCTGGTCAGGAGGAGTACAGTGCAATGAGGGATCAGTACATGAGGACGGGGGAGGGATTTCTGTTAGTTTTTGCTGTTAATTCGGCGAAGAGTTTTGAAGTGAGTTGTTTATGATTCATGGGATTATTCGTTAATTTTGTTACACTGAGAAAAAAATTAGTTTTGCCAAATATTCATTTACTTGGGAGAAGCGTTTATTTTCTCAAAATCGGATTTCTTCAATCGAGGCATTCGCAGGCGAGAATGATTAGGTTTTGAATTGACTCCAATGATTATTCATTTTTCATGAACTTCATATTTTCTACAGGGAAGAATTTTCATTGATTTTTTAATGTTGATAATTATTGGGGAAGTTCAGTCAAGATAGAGAATAAATAGGAGAGGGTGAGGTAAAATGGACACTAGACTTTTTTAACATCATTTATAACTCAGAAACAAATTTATCAATTGATCTTAGTTTTTGCTCGTCACAAAGGGAAAGAATTGTTCTTTGTATTGAAAAAAATTATTAAATTTCGTCAACATTTCAACCCCTCATTGACATTTTAAAAAAAGTCCAAAGTGCCCGTTTTGCCCCCCCCCCTACTTCCCTCAAGTCCTATCGTAAAAAGGAGAAGAGAAATCGATCTCGAAATATCTCGAAAATCTCGACTAAGCGTAAGCGTAAGACTGAAACCGAAGCGCCACTACGTGAGGAGATGAGAAGGCGCGTGCGCAGCACGCGCGGCCGATCTCGTGTGGAAAAAGTGAAAACTGAAAATAGTACATTACATACCCGAGCCTTGGAAAACAGATCACCGACCCCCACGTGCAAGATTGCCACGCAAGCACGTGGGGGACGGTCGCCTTGGAGGATTTTTTTCAGATTTTCAAAGGGTCAGATTTTCCGTTTTTCCAGGGGGAAAATCGACTTTCGCCAAAATCGAATTTTTTAGCCGGGTGAACGTTGATTCCAACTATTT